ATAACCTCCCCTAAATGCCCAGCCCTTAAACCCCTGAAAATGAAGGTCCCAGCTCACTCTCCCTCTGGGAAGCACGCCCAAGCCATCCTCCCTTCCCCCCCCCCCCGCCCCCTTCTCTTATCCCCTAACATCTCAGGGACCCCATGAAACTAACAAGGGAGTCGTGGGCAGCTGCAGCTCGTTCCCAGGGTGCTGTCCCTCTCGGGGCATGTCTGTGCCATTCCCTTCATTCTCATTCCCCCACAGGCCCGTGTCCCTAACTACTAAGGGACCCTGGGGAGCAAAGGGCAGCAGCATGGCAGCTCCTCCCGGGCTTACCCCTGAGCTTGTTTCCAAGGCCCTTTCTCGGCTTCTCAGTGAGTCGGAGCAGCCTGGCCTGGCTCTCCTGCTGCTCCTGTGCCCTTCCTTTTTCACTGGCCTAAGTGTCACTTTTGCTCTGGCCAATAAATTCCTGCTTGCTTCCCTACACTTTGTCTCTTGATTGAGATCTTTCCCTCAAGAAGACTAGAACCAAAGTCTTATCTCCCAGTAACAATCTTAGCATATTAATTACAGTTGTTTCAAATTCCTGGCTCAGGAATTTCAAATTACTTTAACATCCCTGGTTCTTATGTTTCCTGTTTCTTCAGACTATTTTTTGCTTTTTGCTATACCTTGTAATTTTTCTTGATAGCTATGCTTGGTGTATAGATGACAGGAACTGCTATACAAAGGCCTTAGTGAAGTGGTGGTAAGGTTTGGGGGGATGGGGGCCTTGGTGGCCCTGGGATTAGGCTCAGTTTTAGTGAGCTTCAGGGTGCTTTCAGTTTCTCTCTCCTGCCTTAGGGGGGCCAGGAGAGCCAGGAGGGCCAGGGGGCTGGCATTATTTCCCTCCCCCCAGGGCAGTTGGCTCTGAGTTTAACCTGAGCAGATTAATAGTTTTCCCCAAGGGCAGGCCTTGTTAATAAGCTCAGAATGCTCCAACTTAAAAATGTTCCATTTCCCCCCTCCCTGATGGAAGTAAGAAGAGGTTTTTCTCACATATTCACTGTGGGAGTCTCAGCTCCTAGATGTAAATCTGACAATACTCTGGTCCCCTCTGACTCAGTCCTCTGGGGCTTGTAACTCTTGGAGTTGTCTGCACTGAGTTCCAGCAAATTAGCAATTTCGGTTCAAGCTTCTCTTCTGGCTCTGACTCCAGGGAGCTTTCTGCTGGCGAGTCCCCCTCAGGTAAGCCCGAGCGTTAGGCTTGTCTGTCTGTCATCTGGGGGCATCGGTTTGCCCTGTGTCCTCTCCTCTTTGGATCAAGAATTGTTGACTGTTCAGTCTGTTCAGCTTTTTACTTGATAGGTTGGAATGATGACTTTTAAGCCCCTGACGTGGGAAAACAGATATGGGAAGAACTCATATAAGATATTTAAAACATCTATACAATTTAAAAGTGATAACAGATACCTGAATACCCATCTCTGATTTTCTTTCTTTTTTTAGCGGGTGTGATTTTCCATCTTTTGGTCTTACATTTTTAGGGGAATTTCCTTAATGTTTTTTTCTAAAACTCCTATTGCATTTTTCATTTATGTCTCATATTTTGAATATTCTGAAGCTCTTTCCCTCCCCTTTGAGTAGTATTGTTCTTAACTCAGGGTGAAATATTTTATTTTATCTCTGAAGTCATTATATATATACACACACACATTTTAAACCTTTCCTTGAAAAATATTTTAGTTTTTTTTTTCTTTTTTTTTTCCTACGTAGTTTGTTTTGGAGTCTGGGCTTCCTATTAGATTCTTCCCTTGGATGTGTGGTGATGTATGCTCATAATAAGAATGGGAAATTAGAACAGCTGAGAGCTCTGTAGGAAGTGGGTCTCATGAATAGCGAGCCTCCGCTCTGGGTGATAGGCTGAGTCCCTGCCGCGGAGTGCTTCCTTTCTGAGGCTTCTCGGATCCCGGAGAAGACTCAGCGGTCTTCTGCCTGAAGAGCGTGTACCCGGTGCCACATGGGGTCCCTGGGGGGAGGCTGGAGGGCTCAGTAGTCAGTGTGAGATTTCACTCACTAACCCCTGTCTCTGGTTCGTGCTGCCTTCACCTCTACCTTCCCTCTGTCCCAGCCTTTCCTGTATGGGGGATCCGACACTGCTAATCACCAGCCTCTTCTGGTTCTGGTAAGACTGCACTTGTCGGCTTTTCCAGCCTACTAGGTCACATACTATTTATATCAACTTTTTTAGCTTTCACATTGTTGTGGTTGTTGACTTTTCTGTTCTTTACCCTTGTAAGTTTAGGCTCTAATCTCTCCTACCCTTTTCTCCTATAGTTTCAAATTAACAATAAGGTATCACAATAATAACTTCTTGTGAGTATTTTTGTCCTTAGGATAATACCGTCAGGAATGTCTAATTAAATCACCGAGTTTAAAGTCTCTTGAAAAATTCATTTTGTTACTGGTAAGGGGACCTGGCCCTGAGGGGTCTGCCTAGAGCCAGCCTCAGAGTGTGGGTTCTGGACCTCACGCAGGAGAGATTTCCCATCGCGAGTCCAGGGAATGCTAGAGGACGTGTATCAGAGCTGGGACCTCCAACAAACCTGGCGGGGCTGCTTGGGCTCACTAAGAAGTCAGAGAAAAGGGGCTTTGGGGCAGGGTTCAGGGGGCAGTCTGAGACCAACTGCCCTGCCATTGCTGCCCTGTCACAAGCCTCGTGGGGTCCCTAGAGCTTAGGAAGTGCATGCTTGTGGGGGTGGGGGGGGGGGGGGGAGAAAGGGGAGCGGGCGAGCTCCTGGGAAGGAGATTGCATGCTTGGACCTGTGTTTTGAGGGCTTTTAAAGCTGGGAGGTTTTAGGGGAGGATCGATAGAATACTAGTCAGCTTTATGCTAATGTACCAAGATGAGATTTAGTCGCTTTATTTGTCCTTGGATGTGGCTGGCAAATGGCACTCCCTGGATTTCTGCTGTCTTCCTCTGGCTGGGGAGAAGTGAAGCCCTTTATGCCTTTGAGTGTCCCTGGTTTAGTGAAGGTAGGATTAAATGGCAGCTACATGCTTGGCATTTCGATTTTCTAGGTGACTGAAAACTGCTGTTTAATTTTTTGTCTCAGTTTCCCTATTCTGCTTGTCCTGGCTTACTAGCCTGTCTCAATTTTGATGATTATGCTATGAAATTAATATATGGTTAGGTTTCTTTGCTACATTCTACTTTTGATTTCTAGGGATTGTTCTTTTTTAAAAAAAATTAATTTTCTTTCGTAATTATGTATGGTCTCAAACTCAAAGTTACAAAATGAAGGACATTTAGTGAAATCTAGCTTCTATCCCTGCCCCTTTTCTACCCTTTTTCTCTCTCACCCTATAGGCAGCTGTTGTCTTTAAACTAGAACTGCTTCCTTGCCCACTGGTCTTTATACCCTTATTTTAATTTATTTTCCTTATATCTCTTACCACTTCGTGATATGATTATCCTCTTTCACGACAAAAAATAAAATCTTCCTTAGAGCAGGGATTTGAGGTGTGCCAAAATCAATGCATTTCTCAGTTCCCCTTTAGGACCATTCAAAGGGGTTTTTGTGACCCCCTCCCCCTTGTTGAGCACAAATTAGCAGGAAAGTTTACTTTTTAAAAATGCATATAATTTGGTCAACACTGATTTCACATCAGTACATATTAATTATACCTTTACAGCCATTTAAATCACACAGGGCAATGTGACATAGCAGTGACAAGGAATGGAGGCCCCCGGCCTTCCAGGCTGTGCTCCATTCCCTTACTGATGACTGAGGAATAATGAACATGGCCTGTGGTGTTTGCTGCTGACTCTGAGAGGCCCCAGTTTCCATGACAGCTTGTTCAACAACTCATGCAAGATCCAAGAGAGTGTTTATTACACAAGATGGAGTGAACTAGGCTTTGTTTACCTTCAGTTGTGCTAGAATGTGACTTATGACTAAAAATCACCATAACCTGCAGAGTTCAGTAAAAACAGCAGAGTTTATGGGCAAATTGAGATTAGGGGCTACAGTACTCAAAACTTTTGTCAGTGACATAAAAAGGAGCATAATAAAACAGCACAGTTTTTGCACATGTTAAGTGGTGAAGAAATATATAAATACTGCAAGAAGTGTGACACTTTACCTTGATAAGACTTGGTGATTGCTTATAAAAGTAGGCATTGAAAGGCTTGCAATCTGTGAATTCAGCTCCGTACAGTGTTCTGTGTTTACCTGTGTCACTCATGGGTGAAATTGCATGGAGGCAAATGGTTGTGCTCAAAATGTCAACATGAGAAACATTCAAACCTGTAGAGAATTTTTATGAGTTTATGTGAGCCAAACTGACGACAGTTTGACTCACTGAGGAAGCAAAACCTTAGTGGATTGATAAAATGCTCCAGAGAACAGCAGCTGTGCTCCTTATTGTACACATCAGAACCAAATAGGTGTAAGGGAATAATTATATGGGTTAGCGAAGTGGGAGAAAGCAAAACGGGGAAATATCTGGGACTGGATAAAAAGTAAACCACAGAGACACGTGTTTCTTTTAAATTGGCGGGCATGGGAAAGTAACATTTACAGCACTTGGTATGGGAGGTGTGTGGCTACCTCATGTGTATGTGAGGAGCAGGAGAGCAATGAGGGCTCTGTGGGCTCCTGCTCTGGGGGGAGGCTGTGTCCTGAGGGCCTGGGAAAAGGTTCGCCTTGACATTCCAAAGGCATGCTATCCTTTTATAGGTGCACAGAGACAGTGCACAGGCTCAGTGAGGTAGAGACTGGCCTTTGTCAGGGAAGATGCCGGCCTGCTCCAGGGCTGCCGGCCATGACTCGCTTTTAGTTAGAAGTTTTCATTTCTGATCGTCCTTTGTGGCTCCTTCAGGTCTCTGAGTTTGCCCGTCTCACCATGCAGGCCTCCCCTGAGCTTGTCAGGTTTGGTATGTGGCCCTTTGCGTCCACACTAATGATGATGTAGAAACATTTATGTTTTAAGTAGACGGGACAGCAGAACTGACTCCATTTTTCTTTCTCCTTTAGATGATATGCCAGTGGGAACTGCCGGCAGACGAGCTTCAAATGATTCCCTGGTGTTTGGAGGGTATGCTTACACATAAGTAATTAAAGATTTTTTATACATATATATATTTTATAAGTACAGTTATAGAACTTTGTGTGTTCTTGAGTATAACATTTATTTTGTTTTTCAATTTATCATTTTAAATATATATATATAATCCTATCTAGTAAAGAGGGAATATGCTAATTGACTGACACACCCTCAAAGATGATGATGCCCACAGCCACAAGATGGTGGTGCCCAGTTCTCTCAGCCCCACTGGAGCAGCAGGCGTGCAGCACAGTCGGGCCTGCCCCCAGGTGGGTCCGGACACTCCATGTGCCTGCCTCTAGAGTCCCCCAGTCCCTTCAGACTTTCAGCCATCCAGGGCCAGCTTGAGGCGCAGGCAAGCCTCAGATAGCTGCCTGAGGCTCAGGTAACCAGGGCCAGCCAAGGCTTGCGCTGCCGGCAGTGGCAGCAGCAGCAGCAGCAGCAGAGGTGTGAGGTGGGCATTGCCTACCCCTGCTTGCCAGGTCACCTCCTGCCCCTGAGGGCTCCTGGACTGTGAGAAGGGGGGCAAGCCTGGCTGAGGGAACTCCCCTCCAGTGCATGAATTTTTATGCACTGCGCCTCTAGTTGTGGAATAAAACACATAAAATCTGCCATCTTAACCATTTTAAAGTATACAGTTCAGTAAAGAATAGTTAGTGTTGTGCAGAACTTTTTCATCTTGCAGAACTGAAACACAGAACTCAGTATCAACACTCCCCATTCCCCCTATCCTACACTGGTAATGACCATTTGATGTCTGTTTCTATTAATCTGACTACCTTTTATAACCTCATGTAAGTAGAATCCTACAATATATGTCTTCGTATGACTGGTTTAGTTCAGTCAGCACAATGTCTTTAAGGTCATCCATGTTGTAGCATGTCTCAGAATTTCCTTTTTAATGCTGAATAATATTCCATTGTGTGTCTGTAGCACATTTGCTTATCCATTCATCTGTCAGTGGACACTTGGAGTGCTTCTGCCTCTTGGCTCTTGTGAATAATGCTGTTAGGAATGTGTGAATATGCAAATAACTGTTAATTAAAAGACCCTACTTTTTAAAAAACATACTTTTATTGATTTCAGAGATGAAGGAGCTGGGGGAAGAGAGAGAGAGAGAGACCTTAGTGATGAGAGAGAATCACTGATCATTTGCCTCCTGCATGCCCCCACTAGGTATCAAGCCCACAACCCAGACATGTGCCTTGACAGGGAATCAAACCATGATCTCCTGTACATAAGTTAGCATTCAACCACTGAACTATGCCGGCCGGGCAAAAGACCCTGCTTTAATTCTTTTGGATATTTACTGAAAAGTGGGGTTGTTGGATCATATGATAATTCTATTTTTAATTTTTTAGGATACACCATACAGTTACCTACAATGGATGCACCATTTTACATTCTACAACACTATATAAGCTTCCAATTTCTTCATATCCTTGCAAACATTGGTTATTTTTTCCCCTTGATAACAGCCACCTTTTTTTTCCTTCTTAATAGTCATTTCCCTAATGGATGTGCACTGATACCTCACTGTGGTTGTGATTTGCATTTCTCTAATGATCAGTAGTTTTGAAATTCTTTTCATATAATTGTTTGCCATATGTATAATAAATCATCGTGGTGAAATTGTCTATTCACGTTCTTTGCCCATTTTTTTCCCATTTTTTTAGTAAGGTATTATATGTGTACATATCTTACCATTGTCCCCCCCCACCCAATTGATATGACTACGTAATTTTTATCTCTCATTTTGTTTATGTGATGCATCACATTTATTGATTTGCGGATATTGTACCATCCTTGCATTCTTGGGGTAAATCCTACTTGGTCATTGTGTATGATCTTTCTGATGTACTGCTGGAGCTGATTTGCTAGAATCTTGTTGAGGATTTTGCTTTGCCCATTTTTTAATCAGGTTACTTTTTTGTTGTTGTCAAGTTGTGGGAATTCTTTATATATTTTAGATATTAACCCTTTATCAGATATGCAATGTACAGATATTTTATCCTATTCCATAGGTTGACTTTTCACTCTATTGATGTATCCTTTGAGCACAGAAGTTTTAAAATTTGATGTAGTCCCATTTGTTTACTTTGGTAACTATATCCAAGAATCATTGCCTGATACAATGATTAGGCTTGAAAAATACTCTAATGGTTTAAATTTTCTAACATGAAGCTAGAAGATAGTCTTTGTTTTGCTTATCTATACAAACTCTTACATCTGTAATATTATAATTGGGGAAAAGTGGGAGATTTTTGTGTGTTTTTTATAGAAGGGCAAAGAACGAAGTAAATCATCTATCTTAAGGTCCTACACAGTATTATGTTGTAAATTGAATTGAAAGTCATCTAAGGACATACTGTTTCTTAATTTATGAAAATCAATAAAAGAGGCTATTAAGAAATTCTAACATTTAAAAATATGAACTTCCAATCAATTATATGCTTTGAGAATTTCACAGTGTATTTTCAGTCTTCATAAAAGTCAGAGTTCCTTGGGAATGCTTACTGCATTCATAACTTTTGTAAACATTCCAGTCATCTTTGATTTTGAACTTCCTGTTCATTTCCCAACATATATTCCTAGAAATGTATTTTTCTCTCATATAGTAATGAATAGCAGAATGTGAACAGATGAAACTAAGTTTTGCCAACCTAATTTTCTTATTGTCGAGGAATGTTTTTTCAGTTCTTGTTATAAATCTTAGTCTTAAATATGCATATCAATGCCAGGAGAGTTCTTATAATGACAAATGAAAATTTTTTGCTTGATATATTTTTATAAGATGATCATTTCTTATTTATATGCTGAACTGATCATTTTGCTTCTTCTAGAATTTTTCTCTAAATATCACCAGTGGGTCTTACTTGGATTTCTTTCTTTTTCAATAATTTATGGTTGCAGACAGTGTGTGCCTACTGTGTCACCTCCCAGTGAAACAGCACCAATTCCAGTTCCTACTCAGATAAGGAATTATCAGCGCATGGAGCAGAATCTTACATCTACTGCCAGCTCTGGCACAAATCTACATGGTTCTCCACGGTAAGCTAGTATTTTTTTCTCTTGTTTTTGTTAATCTTCACCCAAGGGTATTTTTCCATTGATCTTTTAGAGAGAGTGGAAGAGAGAAGGAAAGGCAGAGAAACTTCGATGTGAGAAAAACACATCGATTGGTTGCCTCTTGCAAGTACCTGGTCTGGGAAGGAGCCTGCCAACTAAGGTACATGACCTTGACTGGAGTTGAACCCGGGACCCTTTTGTCTACAGGCTTTTCTTATAAACATGTTAGGGGTTTTAGTCAAAATAGCAGCATAGGTAAACGTGATACTCATAACCTCATCAAAATTACCACTACAAATAACCGTACTTTAGAACCACCTGAAATCAAGCTGTACAGAAGTCCTGTAACTAAGGATATAAAAAAGAAACCACATCGAGACTGGTAGGAGGGGCAGAGACATGGAATGTCTGGTCCCACAACATGTGTGGCAGGTAAAAATCAGAAGGGATATCTTGGCTGTGGAGGTCCCCTTGGAGAGCGAGGGGTCCCAGCCCCCACACCAGGCCTCATAGCCAGGGGTTCGTTCCAATGCCAGGAAGAAAAGTGCACATAACTTCTGGCTTTAAAAACTAAGGGGACTGTGGCTGAATGAGACAAAGGGCAGCTGGAATTCTAAGCAGTTCATCTTAAGGAGCCTGTGCATAGACTTACTCAGACACACTTGCTCTAAGCTCCAGTGCTGGGGAAGAAGCTTGAAGGCAGCAGGGACATATGGGGAGGAATTGAGTTGATAGGCATCAGGATGAGAGCCGGAGGGGCAGCTCCCAGACAAAAGGGATGGCAAAGGCCATTGTTTCTTTCCTGAGCTCTTCCTGCACAGAGCTGGTAAGTGGGTACATAGCCAAGTCTCCGTCAGCCTGGCTCATACTGTCTACCCCACCCTGGTGATTCCCCGAGACCTTGCCTTACCTAAATAGTGGGCACACCCAAGGCTTTTCCAGTAGCTTCTCTATACAAATGGCATCTCATACCCATGCTTTGAACTTTCCTAAAAATCTGCAGAAACAGATTCATAGATATAGAGAACAGACTGATGGTTGGCTGAAAGGAGTTGGGGGTATGGGTGAAAATGGTAAAGGGATTGAGAAGTATAGATTGGTAATTACAATATAGTCATCTGGGTGTAAAGTACAACAACATAGGAAATATAGCCAATAATCCTATATAATAAAAGACTAACATGCAAATTGTTCCATCTATTGGAGTTCAACCAGGGAGGAAGGCCAGCCAGCCAAACTCGTGTTCCTTCCCCTAGCTGGTCTAGCCAGATTGGCCTTGACCTATGCACAAATTCGTGCACCGGGCCTCTGGTAGTTTAATTAGTATGTATGGTGTCAGTTAAGTACTGCAAATGTTAGGAGGAACACTGTAAAGTAGATGATTATCTAACTATTATGCTATATCCCTGATACTAATACAAAATAATATTGAATGTAAACTGTAATTGCAAAAAAAATTTTTAATTAAAAAAAAAAAGTTCTTTTTTTGTTGTTGAAAGATCTGTTACTTTCCATAGCCAACTTTGTCCCTTATGTATGTGTATAGGGTGGGTCAAAAGCTGTTCATATGGACAATGATTAATAAAAATAATACAAGAATAAGCTCTATCTTTTATGTACTCACAACTATAAACTTACTTTTCCCCCACCCTGTATAATGGAGGTGTACAAAATGGTACAAAAAATTGAATAAAAATTTTTTTGTAATGGATCTATTTAGATAATATTTAAGCTTTTCAAGGTGATATGGCATGTATATATTTTGTCCACAAATATAATTATTTTTAAGAATTGAGGAAAAGTGTGTTAAAAAATGGAATCCCACCAATTGTAGCAGATTATTGACATATTATTTTTTCTACATTCTGAAACTTCACTGAGGTAGCAAAGGAATGACAATGGGATAAGTCCACAAAGAAAAGTAAAATAAGAATAAGTATTCAGTGGGTGGGAGATGTCAATAAATTTCTGGGAAGCAAAGAGAATGGAAGATGAGTGCCTGCTGACAGTGAGAGCAGCTGTGCCACATAGTACCCTCAGAAACAGAAATCTTGGAGAACTCAGTGGAGAGGTGAAAGTGAGGCATATGGCTAAAAGTAGGAAAACTGAATCTGAAGAAAATAACAAGATTGCAAAGGAAATAAACTTATTTTAAAAACTAGTACTTTTAGAGAAAGGTTAGAAACCATATCCATAAATAAGAAATAAATACTATTGAAAAAAATCAAAATTAAAAAGCTCTCTTCTTGGACATAACAAATTATAATAATTAAAATAAATGCTGGGCCGAAACTGGTTTGGCTCAGTGGATAGAGAGTTGGCCTGCGAACTGAAAGGTCGTGGGTTTGATTCCAGTCAAGGCATGTACCTTGGTTGCGGGCACATCCCCAAGAATGGTTGTGCAAGAGGCAGCTAATCGATGATTCTCTCTCATCGATGTTTCTAACTCTCTATCCCTCTCTCTTCCTCTCTGTAAAAAAATCAATAAAATATATTTAAAAAAAAAAAAAACCCACAAACATAGTTTAAAATAAATAAATAAATAAATGAATAAATAAATAAATAAATAAATAAATAAAATGCTGGGAGGCAAAGTTGAAGTATCTGAAATAGGTGAACAAAATAAAGTTGGAAAATATAAATGAAAAATATTCTTCAAGAGTTAATTATAGGTATTCCAGAAAGAAAAAGAAAATAATGAAGAAAATTTCTAGGAAATCAAAAAAATTTTTTTCAGCATTGGTAGATATAAGATTTTAGGTTAAAAGGGCTCACCAAATAAATAGTTCAGTGAATGGAAAGTGATCCTCACAATTGAGAAAACTTTTACAAAGGGCGTTTTGCAATATGTATGAAAATTATTAATGTATACTAGTGGCCTGGTGCATGAAATTTGTGCACCCAAGGCTTTGAGTGTTTCCCCTAGCCTGCACCTTCCAATTGGACGTCCCTCTCGCAATCTGGGTCTGCTGGCTTCTAACGGTTCACCTGCCTGCCTGATCACCCCTAACTGCCTTTCCCTGCCATTGCCCCTAACTGCCCTCCCTTGCCAGCCTAATCTTGCCCCCAACTGCCCTCCCCTGCTGACCTGATCTCGCCCCCTAATGTCCTCCTCTGCCAGCCTGATCACTCCTAACGGCCTCTACCTTGGCCCTCACCACCATGGCTTTGTCTAGAAGGAAGTCAGATGTCTGGAAGATGGCCGGTCGACCTGGTCTAATTAGCATATTACCCTTTTAGTAGTATAGATAGATTATATAGGATAGGATTGCTTAAATGTGGGTGGGGGGAAGCCTTTTTCATCAGGAGGAGATACTCTTGGCAGACAAAAATACATAATTCCTATATCTGGACTAATAGCCATTTACACTGTACTGCCAAACCAGTCATTAAAAAATTGAACCGCTTTCTTATACCTTACACCAAACAGCTGTCGCTCTTAAAACCTCTCCTCAGCCCTCACCTTAGGTTCTGCCTTTGCAGGTCACCCAGATTTGGTTCTGATTGGTTGGTTTCTTTGCCAGTCAGCATCTCTGGACCTATCAGTGGGCCTGATCAGAGAGGCGGGGCTGATCAGCTGCCATGGAGGCTAAGGATCAGACCCTGATTTTCTGTCCCCAGCCCTTTCTCCAGGCCTGATCCACAGCCTCCTTCCGCAGTCAGTGCTGGGTCCGGGCTCCCACAGCTGAGGCAGCACTAACTTTGGCCATCCAGCACTGATTTCTGGTTGGTGAGCCTCTGGTTGTTGTGGTTGTTATGGACCCTGAGTTTTTATATATTAAGATATCTTTTAAGGAGCCCTTCATCTTCTGGTAATTTATTGTATAGATAATCAGTCCTTGCCTATGTATGAAATTGAATACAAAGTTATTGTTATAATAGCAGAGGATGAGAAATAGGTCAAATACTCACCAGTAAGGGACTGATTTATTATAGATTATCTCTGACAATGGAGCCTTTTCCAAAAAAAGAGTAATGCAGCTCTCTATGTCCTGAAGTAGATGATTGTTTATTATAAAGTGAAAAAAGTGATGAAGAATGTTATTAGCAGTGATTCGCAGGTGTGGTTTGTGGCTCCCTTTTTATAGGGTCCATGAGGAAAAACTATTTTCATAATAATACTAGAATATTGTTTGCTTTTACACTGCATATACTGATAGTGCAAAACCAGTGATGGAAAATTGCCGGTGCCTTAAAACACCTCACGCTAGTGGCCCCATCTATACTCTTAGTCTTTGTGTTCTTTACTGTCACCTCTTGGAGTACCAAAGAATGTCTTCAATGAAGCAGTACAAATTATTATTTTCCTTTGAAAATCTTAGCTTTGAGTGCATTGTAGGCATAAAGTACTTTTGCGGCACATTGGAATAGTTGTCTTAAGGAAAAGCACTTGTATGATTGTTTTAGTTGCAAGCTGAACTAGCCACTTTTCCATGCACATCATTTTTAAAGAACAAAACTATGATTATGGATATTTGGCAGCCATTTTGTAAAAAATGAACTAACTGTAATTTTATAGAAAACAAATGACATAAAATTTGAGTTCTGAACAAAAATTAGAATTTTGGACAACTTATATTCATCGTTATGATCTTGACAGCTCCTGTTACACATTGACAGCCATTTCTAAGATTAATAGTGGTCTTTTGATGTGAATGTGACTCTGATATTATATAATGTGTCAACATTTGGAATATCTCCATAACTCAGTCAACCAATATTTTCTTTTTTAAAATATATTTTTATTGATTTCAGAGAGGAAGGGAGGGAGATAAGAGAGATAGAACCATCAATGATGAGAGAGAATCATTGATTGGCTGCCTCCTGCACAACTCTTCGGGGGAATGCGCGCAAAACCCAGATGAGTACCCTAACTGGGAATTGAACCATGACCTTTTGGTTCAAAGGTCGGTGTTCGATTACTGAGAGACACCAGCTTGGCTCAACCAATATTTCCCAAGCGACCAAATGTAACAGAATACATAATCTCACTGACATAGTTTCTAATTCCATGCTGTGACCAGTCTTTTCAGAAGTGGTGACTTGCTGAGTTTTTGTTTAGCATCAAAGAGAAGTATTTGAAAAGGCTACCAAAATATTCCTCCCTTTTCCAGTTACATATCTGTGTAAGTCTGGGTTTCCTTCATATACTACACCAGTGTTATACAGATTGTAGGTAGAAATAGTTCTGAGAATCCATCTGTCATATATTCAATCAGATATTAGAGATTCGCAAAAATGTAAAATAATGTCACACTTTTCGCAAACTTATTTTGTTTTGGAAAATATAATTTTTCATAATTATGTTACCTATGCTAAGTTTATTTTTAATGAATTGGTAATTCTAAAAAATTCTGTTTAATTTCTAATACAGTAAGTATCAGCTTGTATGGGATCTAGGATCATCAGTAATTTTAAGAGTACAATGGGGTAGTAACACCCTCACATTTGAAAATGGTCGAGCTACTCAGTGGTTGAGCATCAACCCATGAACCAGGGGGTCACTGGTTTGGTTTGGTTTGGTTTGGTTTGGTTTGGTTTGGTTTGGTTTGGTTGGGGCACAAGCCCAAGTTGTGGCTCAGTCCCCAGCAGGAGGCATGCATGCAGGAGGTGATCGATTGATGTTGATGTTTCTCCATACATCAGTGTTTCTATCTCTGCTTCTCCCTTCCTCTTACTCTAAAATCAATAAACACATTTTTAAAACCCATTAGGCACCAGTTTGAGCATTAAAGAAAAGAATTGTTGGCTAATAGTTCATTTTAAAAATGAGAGAGAAAATGGTTGGTATATATAACTATCTTTTCTAAAGATGAAAGCATGATTATACAGTGGGCCTTTGAATAACACAGAAGTTAGAGCCCCAATGCCTGTGCGATTGAAAATTCGACTCCCCCAAAACTTAACTACTAATAGCCTACTGTTGACCGGAAGCCTTACCATATAAATAGTCGATTAATATATGTTGGCTAACAAAATAGTTGATTAACACATATTGTGTATGTTAGACATTATATTATATGTTTTATTCTTATAATAAAGTAAGCTAGAGAGAAGAAAATATTAAAATCATAGAAAAAAATACATTTATAGTATTTATTGAAAAGTATGTAGGTGTCCCAGGGCTGGCAGTGTGTGCAGTGCCGGGTATGCCTGCAGTGAATTGGGAGCTCTGGAAGGATTTCAGAGGCTAAAAACGGGTAGCCTTGTGCATCAGGTGGAGGAAGTGCTGGGAATTAGGGGAAAGGGTACTAGGTTGAGAGGGAGTCTTCACTATATGATTTTATACTTGTGCCATGTGACTGTGTTACTTTTTTTTTTTTTTTTTAATCTCCATGGTATATTTCTAGGAAGTTTTAGGAAAAAAAGACAAAAATAGTCCTAGAACCTGTCAGAGGGAGTCATTTTTTTTTTCTTCCCAGGTCTGCAGTGGTGCGAAGGTCCAACACCAGTCCTATGGGCTTCCTCCGGGTGGGAGCCGGCTCCCCAGCGCCCGCAGATGCAGCACAGACAGTCGGACGGAGACTCTCCACTGGGTCTTCCAGGCCTTATTCACCTTCCCCTTTGGGTATGAGTTTGAAGAGTTGTCCTCAACATTTCTTACTGCCAGATCTGGACTGGCACTCTCTTTGGGACCATCGGCTCACGGTGGCAGAGAGCCTCAGCTGGCTGGGACCATATCCCACCCCCTGGGTACACCCTGCCCCCCTAGTCCCTCTAGCGAACCTCTGGGTAAATCTGTTAGGTGTCCATTGGAAACAGAATAATACAAATGGATCTTTTGGATAAAAAGTATCTCCTTTGGGTTTGGGCTCCAAACACAAAGTCAGAAAACCTAGGTTAAAATACAGAACACTCCTACCCTTCTTACTCAGATTTCTGAGGATTAGAAGGCAGTCGTGTACATAACAGCACTGCCTGTGTCCAGGGAGCGATGTGGCGGGAGCCTCGTTACAGGCTGCCACCTCCTGGGAACCACGTACAGCAGAGGAGCAGTTAAAACAGAGCAGAATCCCAACAGCAACAACAAAACCCAACCAAACATAAACCTTAAGCACTCTTTTAGTGAAAGTAAGACAAAGAAAATGCTTCAACTTTAGAATCTTATGTAAGAGAGACTAGAGCAACTGGGATTGCAGGATTTGTGTAAACTAGCATCGTATGTGGGGAAGAAAAGGTAATACAGAGAGCGCCCGGTGGTGGCAGATCTCAAAATTGCAACAAAAACCCAAAACTTTTTTATGCTCACACACACATTTCTAAACAGAGGGGCCGCCACCCTCAGCCAAGACTGCCGGAGTAGGATTCAGAAGATTCCCTGAAAGTTGGGAGGAGGCAGAGCAAGGACAGTGCCCAAAGCCCTGATTTCAAAACCACAGTGATAATGTTTAAAAAAGAAACCCACAAAAAGTGTTTCACCACCTCACCTATTACAATGGTGTTGAAGCTGTTTTTAGCTGAAAAATTTTTCAAACAAAATCTTGGCTCTGCTTCATCCCTCAGCAGCTCCTAAGAGACATGTTCCAAAACTTACCCCTGCATTCAAGGAAAAGGCTCTTCCTCTGCCTGCCTGCCTAACCCCGTTGTCAGTGCCTCTTCCTTTTTGAGGACCTATGTTTCTTGCCTACTTAAATCCCCCGAAGTCTTCCCCAGCTCTCCTTTTTATCGGTTTGAGTCCTGAGAAGTACATGCAAAGAAGGTAGATGCAGAGATGTGCAAGAGAGATTGGGGAACAGTGTGCTGGATAAAGGGGGGGAGGCAGGAGTTCACAGGGAGCCCCCTACCACTGCCGTGCAGATGGACCCTGTGCGTGAAAGGAAGGAAGGAGGAGTCCTGGCTACAGTGAGGGCTCAGAGAAGTTAGCCCGACTGAAGTAGTGTCCCACGCACTGAGTTGTCCAAATTTCCTGACCTGCTTGAACAGGCCTGAATTAATGCAGTCAGTGGCTGGGAGCCCTGGGGAGCAGGAGCGGGGTGCTTCAGAGGTACAGTAGCTGGGCTGTCATTCAGCTCCACAAGCCCCCAACACTATGGACAAACTCTTGGTACTTCCCGTTTTAATGGCAGATGCTGATTGTACGTGGCTTTCTTTCTTATTGATCTTGTTTTAATGTTATAGATACTTTTGATCCTAGTATGCCCAGCACCCAGCACATTGGTTGCTTAGCTGAGCTGTTGCTGAGTACATTTTGTAAACTACAATGTATTGTGCATATGTTGCCTATCTCCATTTTTAGCTGGCTTTGAAGCATTTCTCTGTCCCTGCCCCTGTTTCCTCTTTGCAGTTGGTGCCATTCCAGAGCCGTGGAGTCAGTGCTGCTGTGGGCGCCCGCAGGGCCAGGAGTCCGGGAGGAGGAACTCTTCAGGTGGGAGATGGGGGATATTAACTGTATCCTATTATGAACTAGAGGCCCGGTGCACAAATTTGTGCACAGGTGGGGTCCAGCCGTGGGAGTGGGGAGGAGGGGTCATGGGTGGTTGGCAGGCTGGACCTGACCCCAATTGGGGCAGGGGGCAATTGGAGGCGGGGGCGGAGCCAGCTTGGGGTAGGGGCCATGGGCTGTTGACCAGTCCAGCACCCTGGTCGAACTCCCAGTAGAGAGGGCAATTTGCATATTAGCCTTTTATTATACAGGTATGTTTTTCTAGTTTTATCAAAAAAATAGAATCAGTGTCCAGTTGATGTGGTCATCTCTTTTTGGGTATTTGATTCTTTTATGAAAATAAGTCTTAGGAAATAAATAACTTAACTAAATTTTGGTCATTGTCACACAGATAATGAAAATCTAAGAAATGTAATTTTTGTTGCTTTAATACTATTCTTTTTTTAAAATCTTTATTGTTGCAAGTATTACATAGATGCAGATGTAGCTGACCCCTTCTTACTCACCCCTGTCCCCAAGTAGTTCTTATTCTTGATAAGAACTACTCGTTAGCATCAAATAAAAAACAAATATAGATGTTTATTTGCTTTATTATGTACCATATATGCCTCTAAAGATGTGTGTAAATCATGCTTTTTAAAGTCACATCTTACTGTTCATGTATTTGATGAGTTGGCCAGTTAAAGGAACTCTAATCCTTGGGAAAGCATACAACTTAGCTTTCCGGTCCATAACACTTTGCCACTAATTTTACTTATTTGTACATATGCACGCACACATACACACACACACATACACACACACATACACGTACTTGTGCCTGTGTGTGTTTGGCAGAACCCAGTTATGAAAAGTTAAATATCAAATTCAGTATGAAATTAGCCAGGAGTGGTCAGAGGCAAAAGCTTATATTGATGTCCATTTTTAGAAAGATGATGGTTATAGCCTAAACCGGTTTGGCTCAGTGGTTGAGCGTCGGTCTGCGGATTGAAAGGTCCCAGGTTCGATTCCGGTCAGGGGCATGTACATTGGTTGCAGGCACATCCCCAGTAGGGGGCGTGCAGGAGGCAGCTGGTCAATGTTTGTCTCTCATTGACGTTTCTAGCTCTCTATCTCTCTCCCTTCCTCTCTGTAAAAAATCAATAAAATATATATATTTTTTAAAAAGATGATGGTTATAGATCTCTGAGAAGATTTTAAAAATATATATATATTATTGATTTTTTACAGAGAGGAAAAGAGAGGGATAGAGAGTTAGAAACATCGATGAGAGAGAATCATCGATCAGCTGCCTCCTGCACACCTACCACTGGGATGTGCCCGCAACCAATGTACATGTCCTTGACCGGAATCAAACCCGGGACCCCCCAATCCACAGGCCGACGCTCTTATCCATTGAGCCAAACCGGTTTTGGCATCTGAGAAGATTTTTATGTTCTTAATGTTATCGGTGGTAGTTTGGCTTAGAAGTGCCAAAATACTTGTAAGTGGAGCTCAAGGCTTAGTGGACCGTAAGTGGCAGCAACCAGGCTTGTGTGGGTGAAGTCCCTTATTGTTGCCAATTGCTCAGCATATCAAGACTGTCTCCCAGGCCCCAGTAGGTATCCCCTTAGAGTCAAGAATACCTGAAGATTTTTTATTCTTAAAATGAGAGGAAGGGCAAGAGCGAGACAAACATTGATATGAGAGTGACACATCACTCGGCTGCCTCCTGCACACTCTCCTGGGGATTGGCACATAACCTGGGTGTGTGTGCTGACCGGGGATGGAATTGATAGCGTTTTGGTGCATGGGATGATGTCCAGCCACCTGAGCCACATCGGCCAGAGACATAAGCTTGTTAATTTTAAACAAATAAAATCAAATTCAGGAACAGTATATTATCTAATTCTCCTTACATATTTTTTTTTAATAAGGGGCTATTCTAGGTTCGTTTGAAAAGTTTATTTTATTATAGAATAATCACATTACTAAACACAAATATGTATTTATGTAAAAGATGGAAAATATCCTGTTCATTGTGTTCGTTGTTTTGGTTCTAATTGGACCTTGCATTAATCTGAGTTGTTTGCTAGCTGCTGATAAAACAGCTAATATACCCATTATCCACTTCTGTCTCCTGAGAATGTCAGTGACTATGTTCTTGTCACTGGTTTGTAAAGGATGCCAAAAAATAGTCTCCCGCCAAGTAAACACTTTTAGAATATCTCATGGAAAATAAGGCGTTCATTAAAATTCTCATTTTAAGAATTGTCTTCTTGCCCTGGACGGTTTGGGTCAGTGGATAGAGCATTGGCCTGTAGACCAAAGGGTCCTGTGTTCGATTCCGGTCAAGGGCACGTGCCCAGGTTGCGGGCTCAATACCCAGTAGGGGGCATGGAGGAGGCAGCCAATCAATTATTCTCATCATTGATGTTTCTTTCCCTCTCCCTCTTTGAAATCAATAAGATAAATTAAGTAAAAAGCCTTGTCTTCTAAATCCTTATGATTTTGCCATGTACTTCTTCCCACTGGGTTAACGCTGCATCTGTTTCTTGGTAGGTTCTTCAGTGCTGCAGGCTCAGTCACCACAGTCTTTCTTACTGGGTGCTAGACTGCAGAGGGCCCCCAGCCTCACCGACATCTACCAGCACAAGCAGAAGCTCAGAAAGCAGCACTCCGACCCCGTGTGCCCGTCCCACAGCGGCGCTGGGTGCAGTCACTCCCCTCAGCCCAGTCGGCCTGGCAGCCTGGGGACTTCTCCCACCAGACACCTGGGGTCCTCTCCACGGAGTTCTGACTGGTTCTTTAAAACCCCTTTACCAACCATCATTGGCTCTCCTACCAAGGTGCGTTTGTTAAACCTTTGTAGGGGTTACGACTTTATTAACATTGTGAAGTGGACGGATGGAGAGCCAGTTCAACAACAGACCATGAGAGAAATTGAAATAGAGGTCTTTTACTCACAGCTCCCGAAAGATACCCTGCACACCTGGGGTGGGCCCACAGGGATGCCCAGACAGCGTGCAGCCAGGGAGGGAGAGGCAGGATCTGGGCGCATGCCTTTATTAGGGTTCATGGGTAGAGTGATTCTGGGTTCCTTACTAAGGCTAGATTGCTCAATTGAAACCAAAAGAGCAGGGTTCTGGTAAGCTCCATGGGGGCCTTACCTAAAGGGTACACAAAGAAGATCCTGGGAGCTGGGGGGTCACATCAGGAGCTTACATTTGCTGGTGATGCTGTGAGCTGCTGCTAGGGTGTGCACTTAAGAGGAAGGCAAATGTCAGTTTTAGGTCCCTGCAGTCCACTTGGCCCAATAGAATGAATGCAGAGGCAGCAATACCATGGAATAGCTGGCCCGAGCTCTTCACAATAGGTCAGGAACTAGTATGGAAAGGACTTAGGATGAGAAGAGTTACAACTTAATGAGCACTTGCTATGTGCCAGGTACAGTGGAGGCCTTTGACTTGCTGAATGCTTTATGTACATTGTCCCACTGAGCTGTCCATGGTTAGAGAGGCTGTACGTGGAAGAAGAGCCAGTGTTTTAATCCAGTTCTGAACAATTCCAGAGTCAATGTTCCTGGCTGCGGAGCTATGCAGCCTGCCAGTGCTGAATGCTTTACACATCGTAATAACCAGCTTACGTGTTTCTTTAGACCACAGCTCCTTTCAAAATCCCCAAAACACAAGCATCTTCCAACCTGCTAGCGTTGGTTCCTCGTCATTGGCCTTCTGAAGGGCAACCTAAAGATGGGGATGACCCACGAGAATGCCCTCATTGTCTCTTACTGCCAGGAAGTGAGAGGCAGACGTCTGAGCAGCAAAGCAAGGCAGTGTTTGGCAGGTAAAAAACACCGTTTCCTTCCAGCTATAAACATGAAAACTGCCCTGCTGGTGTGGCTCAAGGGTTGAGCATTGGCCCATTAACCAGGAGGTCACGGTTCAATTCCCGGTCAGGGCACATGCCTGGCTTGATGCTAGTAGGGGGCTAGGAGTTGATGTTTTTATCTTTCTCTATCCCTCTTTCTTCCTCTCTAAAATAATGAAAATGTGTTGGAAAATTAAAAAATAAACATGAAAACTACCATAGTACATATATTTCTGTTATAGAACAACCAAACCAAATTAGTAGCTGGATATGAACTGTATACATTTAGAGTCTGAAACCGTAGATGCTTCCTGTAGCTAGAAATACAGAGCTCTTACTGAATTTCCTGAATAGCCTACTTCTGCCTCTTGCTTATATTAGTTAATGAAGTTTATCCCTTCTTTGAATTGTTATCTTTTTTTTGTCTCCTTGTTCTCTGACTTCTCATTAACCCTTTTATGATTTGGCTTAAATCCTTATTATTTACATGTGGGTTTTTCATTATTAAAATCACTCTTTTTAGATCCGTCAGTACTGGGAAACTATCCGATCAGCAAGTCAAGACACTTTTAGGTGGACGTCAGGGCAGCACAGACAGTTTAAATACAGAACGACCAATGGATATAGGTAAGAAAAAGTATTTGCTTTTGGAGAGGGGTGGGGGCGAGTAATTTGTAATTTCCCATTGTTGCTATAACAAATTACCACAAGATTGGTGGTTTAAAACAACATAAATGTATTACCTACAGTTAGTGGAGGTCAGAAGTCTGAAATTGGTCCCTGGGCAAAGTGCAGGTGCCAGCAGGCTCCTGTGGGCTCCGGGGAGGGTGCGATTCCTTGCCTTCTCCATCTTCCGGATGCTGCTCTCATCCCTGCTCGGCCCCTTCCGTCTGGAAGTCAGCAGTGGCCAGTCTAGATTCTGACCTTCCTCCCTACTCTGCACTTAAAGGACCCTTGTGATTACATGGGACCCACTGGATTGTCTCTTTATGTTAAGGTCAGTTGATTAGCAATTCTAGTTCCACCTGCAGCTTTAATTTCCTTTTACCATGTAAGATAGCCCATGCAAAAATTCCAGGGCCTCTTAGGCTGGGCTGGAGGTAATTATTCTACTTACCTTTTCTATGATTGAGCATGAGCTTACTGGCACAGATTTCTTCACTCTGTCCCTGTTCTTTTTGTCTTTCTCAATAGCCTATCAAGACAGGGACTTGTTCCATATCTTGATGACCAATGGCCTAAGAGTTAGAAGGAATTCTGACCAAGATAACTTTTTATCAGTATGTTAATCCTGGCTAAAGTTAGGCTAACCACTCATTAACTATTTCTTATACAGCAAGGAGTTCCTGTAAAGACCCACAGGTCACTGAGACCCCTGGCCCTTGCATAGCTATTCCAAGGGCTGTTCCGACTGTAGACCCACATTTATCGATAGATTCCAGGCCTAACCCAGACTTGGGATTTTTTTTCTTTTTAATTTAATAAATCTTTATTGTTCAGATTATTACAATTGTTTCTTCTTTTACCCCATAACTCCCTTCCACCCGGTTCCCACCCCACCCTCTGCCCTTACCTCCCCTCCCAATTGTCCTCATCCATAGGTATCTGATTTTACTTCAGTCTCTTCCTACATTCCCCACACACCTTTCCCCCTGATAATTATGAGTCCACTCCCTTTTTTTGCCCCTAATTCTATTATATTCACCAGTTTATTCTGTTCCTCAGATTTTTAATTTACTTGATTTTTAGATTCACTTGTTGATATATATGTATTTGTTGATTATAATTTTTATCTTAACTTTTTTCTTCTTCCTTTTCTTAAAGAATATCTTTCAGCATTTCATATAATACTGGTTTGGTGGTGGTGAACTCCTTTAGCTTTTTTTTTTTATCATCACTTTGAATATTTCTTGTCACTCCTGTCTGGCCTGCATCATTTCTTTCTTGTTTTTTTTTTTTTTAATCAATCTTTATTGTTCATATTATTACAAAGGTTCCTCATTTCTTCCCCCCTCCACCAGGTTCCCACCCCACCCTCCACCCCCTCCCCATCCCCCATTGTCTTCATCCTTAGGTGCACAGTTTATGTTCAGTCTCTTCTTCCCTCCCTTTCCCCGATAGTAAATCCCTTTTCAGATAGTAAATCAGTTACTTAGCATTTTCTCATATCAATAATACCTCCACATGCCCAATGATATACTTCACACAAAAGACATTTCCAAATAGGTCAACTAGCCTCATCCAGGCCCCACCCAAGGCACTCACAGATCAACACCCCAGCCCTATACTAACTCAACACATCCAGATCTAAGCCTTCATCATTTGATTCAGCAGACCCTCAAGTTCCCGCGAAAGTTTCCAGCCATGTCTGAGAGGCAGCCGTGGGGCAGGAGCAAGCGAGGAGCGAGCTGTTTCAGGCCTGGCTGCTCAGGGCCTGGCCTCTGTTGCTCTGGTTCGTTCCACAACCAGCTGCTCCGGGTCTGGTCACTGCCGCTCCCGACCTAGTTGCTCTGGACTTGGCTGCTGCTGCTCCGGGCCTGGCCGCTCCCAGCCTGGCAGCCGCTGCTCCGGGCCTGGCCGCACCCGACCCGGCTGCTCCGGGCCTGGCCGCCCAGCCGAGCAGCCGCTGCTCCAGGCCTGGCCACACCCGACCCGGCTGCTCCCCCGGGCCTGGCTGCTCCCAGCCTGACAGCCGCTGTTCCGGGCCTTGGCCTGCATCATTTCTGTTGAGAAATCAGCTGACAGTCATGTGGGTGCTTCCTTGTAGGTAACTAACTGTTTTTTTCTTGCTGCTTTTAATATTCTCTTTGCTCTTGGCATTTTAATTATGATGTGTCTTGCTCTGGTCCTCTTTGGATTCTTTCTGTTTGGGGTTCTCTGCGCTTCCTAGACTTGTAAGTATTTCTTTCACCAGCTGGGGGAAGTTTTCTGTCATTATTTCTTCAAATAGGTTTTCAATATCTTGCTCTCTCTCTTCTTCTGGCACCCTCATAATTCGGATGTTGGTACACTTGAAGTTGTCCCAGAGACTCCTTTCACTATCTTCGTAGTTTTGGATTCTTTTTTCTTTTCCGATTGGGTGTTTTTTGCTTCTTTGATTTTCAAATCTTTTACTTGATTCTTGTGTTCCTATAGTCTGCTGTTGGATCTCTGTATATTATTCTTTACTTTAGGCAGTGTATGCTTAATTTCTAGTTGGTCCGTTTTCAAATCCTCAAGGGTCTGGCTGAATTTTCTAGGAAATTCTTGAAAAACTTTATAAATGTGGTTTTGAATTCTATATCTAGTTGTTTATTTTTCTCCATTTCTTTCATTTGTGATGTTACTTTGTCTCCGCATTTCCGCTGCTTTCCCTTAGTAGGGTAGCTTTGTGTGCTAGGTGTCCTATATACATATTAGAGAGAGAGAGAGAAACATTGATGTGAGAGAGAAACATTGGTTTTGAGAAGCATTGCCTCCTGCATGTGCCCCAATTGGGGAACGAACCTGTAACCTTTTAATGTACGGGGCAATGCTCCAATCATCTGAGCCACCCAGCCAGGGCCAGTTCATGTATTTTAAAAGTACACAGAAGTAACCGAATACTGGACTTTGGTGTGAAAGAGATTCGTAGCCATGGAAGATTATTATAAAATAGTTTTAATGGATATCTGTATTGAATGCTTATTGTAAAAAATGACAAACCAATAATATAGAAGTGAAGGTCGCCCTATAATCCCACCCCCAAATATAAACACTGTCGAAGTAATGTGCCTTTGTGTGGCCGCCCTGCAGGAGCCTGTGGTGTGGCCCTGGTGCCTCCGGGGGGAGCAACAGCAAGTTCCAGGGCCGTCCTGTTCACTGTGGGGTCTCCTCCGCACAGCGCCACGGCCCCCACTCGGACCCACACGGTCCTTCGGCCAAGGACAACCTCAGGTGAGGAATCGCCTTCTGTCGTCTCTGTCTCGTGCTTGGAGTACCGTGTTCTGAGAATGACATGATAGTGTGACTTACATAGCAAGTCACTGAGCCTCTCTGGAATTCGGTTTCTTTTTCCAGTGACATGGAAATAACTATTTTCTTTTCCTTAAAGGGTTATAAGAAATAAATGAGGCAATATTTGTGGGAAAAAAAACCTTTATGAAGTAAAAGAACTACATTATATACTTATATAATTGTGGTTATACTGAAGGCTGGTTTTAGTGCAGCCAGGAAAGATTTTGAAAATGACAGGTGGTTTATCTTTGTTTTGGGAATTTCAAAACCTAATTTTAACTTTTTTCTTTGGGTCTCTATCTTGGCACTTAATCCTACATTTAGCAGGATAGTAAATACCAACCCTGGAGAGAACAGTTAGATGGGACTTGAAACGAGCTGCCATTTGCCATTACAAGATTGCTCCTGTGTCCTTCAGGTCCCGCATGCTAAATCAGTCACGAAGCAAGACTCAGTAGGTTAATAAGCAAAAGATATGAACAGACAAGAGAGCAAGTGGAGCTAACCATCTTGTTTTTAAGATTGAGAATGTGTTAATACTAAGCTTTCATTTTAAGAAAGGAACCTTAGATGCTGTTAACTCAGCGGCGCTTAGAGCAGGCTCCCAGGGTGGCGTGGTTAGCGGGCTCTGCGCTGACTCCCAGCTGCTGCAGAGAGCGGTGCAGTTCTTTCAAAGCTATTAAATGTTTATGATATTGGCTCTATGGTAATCCCATTCCTGTTTATCATACCTCTTTGGAGCATTAATCACAAGTAAATTACTGCAAAGAAGGGGAAATTTAGATTTTATTAGTGTTATTTGTGATATTAAAAGATCAGAAACAGTATAAATGCTTTTAGATAAGTATTATGTATATAAATTTAATTAACGACTAGTGCATCCACTGAGTTTTATAATTATGAAAATGTGGAGAAACAGGAAGAAATGTATATGCTGTAAATTTGTTTAAAACAATATTTAAAAAGTAGCTATGACAACCTCTAAGATATACATAATGACAAGGTGTAAAGGTTGACATGGCAGAATGGAAGCCACTCGTATGCTCAGTGGGATCGGTGCTGCTCGTGGTGTGTTCCGTGTTTCTCTGGTGGTGGGAGCCGCAGGAGGGCGTGCGCTCTTGCTGGCACTGAGCCGTGTCCTGTCTTTGCAGTGGGCTCCAGCAGCTCGGGGGGCTCCCTGTGCTCCGCAAGCAGCCGCGTGTGTGTGGGCTCCCCGCCCGGGCCCTGCTGGGGGCCCTCCCCTCCAGGAACAGAGGCAGCCCCCAGCCTGAGATACACGCCTTATGGGGCTTCTCCCCCCAGCCTGGAGGGGCTCATCACCTTCGAGGCGCCTGAGCTGCCGGAGGAGACACTGATGGAGGTAGGGAAGAGAAAAACGTTGCTGATATATTTTCAGAATAATGTTGACCATGGCACTCATCCATAGTAAGCTTTGGTTGATTTTGTGTTCTTAATTTTTTAATCTGAAGTTTATTTACTACTTATAGGACTTTTGAAGTATAATGTTTCTCCTAAAACCATAACTTTTATTCTTAAAGCTGTTTTTCTTTATAAGATAAAAGTAACACACTTAAAGGCAGGTTTTAAAAAATAAACTGTGAGGCAGGTTAGTCCTAACATTGGAAATAACTCGGCCAAGCACACTGGCGCTCACCTCCCTGAGGTTTGTAGAGCAGCACCGTGTCTCCACGGCCCAGCTCTGCGAGAAAAGCACATCGTGGTCACAGCTTGCTGAGCCACCCAGAAAAGAGGTGATTCTGTGATGCCAAGACCACCTCCTTGCCTGCGGACCAGGCGAGCTTCGCCTGCATTCCGTCTATGATGGCCAGTTCTCTGGACCAGCTGGAGAAGCAGCTCCCCTCAGTGCTGGCCTCTAGCACTTGGTCTTGTGCGAATGGGAATTACATAGTCCACAGCAGCCTGCACTCAGCTCCAGTAGTGATCTTGCGGCAGGGCTTGTAGGGTTTTAACGCAGGCTGGGCCTGGTAAAGCAGTCCTCAGAGGTTTCCCATCTCCATCCACTTTGACAGGAAGTGTGCCGCTGTGCGTGGGCCGTCATGGGTGTGTGTGTGTGTGTGTGTGTGTGTGTGTGCACATGCCCGGTGCTGACGGAGCAGACTTTTAGGAGGTGACTGGTTCATGATCTTGTCTCCAGGAAAATGATTTTCTGGGAGAGGAAGAAACTGAGTTTTATTCAGATTTGAAAATATATTTATAGGTAAAAATAAATCTCCTAACAACATTAATTTTGAAATCCATTTTCACTGCATACTATTGTGTGTGTCTGTGCTTCCCTCTCTAACTGAAAAGATCACAGAAGTTTAGAGCTTTGGTGTTAGGAATCGCTGTTAACCTGAAAACCACCAGAAGTCAAGTTGTAAGTCAATAGCATTCACTGAACCATCAAGAAGAACGGTTTCCTGTGTAGAATATCCTTGCAATCTTGGTATCTGTTTTGTCATTGTTTTGTCTCGTGTACAGTGATAGTGATTGAATCATTTGGTGTTTCACTGGTAAAAGCACAGTGACTTCATATCTTTGAAGCTAAATTTTGTGGGTGCTCAGATATACACACAAACGTGCTCACATCCACATTTGGTTTATTTGTGTCTATATTCTCACTAGTTTCCTGGAATTTAAAATGCCCATCTCCTTTGCTCATTCTGATGTTCGTAAGGATAGACAGTGTCAGCAGTGTTGGTTTACACTGAGGTGAGCATGCACCTCTTCTAACCTAAGAGTTTCTAAGACGAGTGGCTTTGTGCAGCGAGAACACACAGACACCCTGCGCCACCTGAGCGTGATGCTGACGTTCACGGAGTGCGTGCTGGACCTGACGGCGGCGCGGGGCGGCCTCCCGGAGCTGAGCTCGTCCGCCGGCTCCTTGTACCAGGCGCAGGAGAGCGTGCTTGTGGACCAGATCAGCCGGCTGAGCAAGGACTGGGGGTAGGTGCCCTTTGTTTCCGCGTTCTGGAGGCTTCTGCAGTCCTGTCTGAGGGAGGCCTGCTGCTGCTGACGGTCCCAGCTCACTGAGCTGCTGTCCTGCTAGGCCCCACTGCAGGAGCCCAGACCGACCGGAGGCTCTGACCCTTAGTGCTGCCTTTTCCCTGTGGAAGGTACTGATGATAAGAGGCTGTACTGGTTTTTTTCCGAGTGTATCATTGTATTCAGAGTACACATATCTTTTCCCACGCCGAAACTTTGCCTCCGGAGTCATATGTGCATTAAAACATCCCGGCCTGTGCCTTCCTGTGGGGGCTGTTGTCATGGTGCTGGGACGGGCAGAGCCTCGTTGGCGGGGGTTGGCAGGCTGCCGCTCACTTGCTGCCCTCCTGCAGGCGGGTGGAGCAGCTGGTGCTCTACATGAAAGCGGCCCAGCTGCTGGCGGCGTCGCTGCATCTCGCTAAAGCCCAGATCAAGGCTGGGAAGCTGAGCCCGTCCTCGGCGGTGAAACAAGGTAGGCGGCGTGCTGGGGCGGCCTCCCCACGACTCCGGCCAGGGGCGGGAGTCAGTTGTTAAATATTCTTTCTGGGCAGAAGGTGTCCAGAAGGTGTCTTAAATGTTTATTTAAGAGCTTGTGCTTTTGCCATTTAACTGATACGGAGAGCAGTCAGAAGTGCTTTCTCTCAGTCCTCTCACGGAAAGAGAGCATTCAGTCATTTTTAAACGATCGTTTAGTGCCACGTTCCTTAAGCCAGCAGGCAGGTGCGTGTCGCTGCGTGTTTCCTGTGGAGGAAATGAGAATTCGTTCTTTTCAGTTGTCAGAAACCTGAACGAACGGTACAAGCTGTGCATCACCATGTGCAAGAAGCTGACCGAGAAGCTGAACCGCTTCTTCTCCGACAAGCAGCACTTCATGGACGAAGTGAACAGCGTCACCGCAGAGAGGCTCATCTACAACTGCGCCGTGGAGATGGTGAGCCGCCCACCTGCCCGCCCGGAGAGGAGCTTTTCCATCCAATGCCTGCTTGGCAGTGTCTAGCCCTTTACAAAGGGCTTATGCCCACCACTCCCAAGTCCCAAGTATTGTGCTCTCACCTCATAGTAACCTTGCACTTAGTGTTGAAGTAACACATTAAGTCATGCTGTTACCACATTTGGTAATGGTCCACTATTCCTCTCTAAAATTGCTAATAGCATGATCTGATCATCCCACAGTTTGCATCCTGGGGCTTTTAGTGGATCTGTTTCTCCATTTTCCCCAGTATAAGAAATTGTGGCTTGATAAACATTAGAAAAAAATACTGCTGTTAATCCACAGAAATGCATGTGCTCAGATTCCTTAATTACAGACGCAAAGTAAAATCTGCTTTGCAGTTGGGAAGAATTTGTCTTCTGACTTATGGGGGGAAACTGCTTTAAAATGCAGAAGAAATTGGGGACTGTTACAGGATAGTGCTGAACCTGGCTGCCACCGCTCGGCGGTTGAGCATTGACCTGTGAACCAGGAGGTGACAGTTTGATTCCTGATTAGGGCACGTGCCCGGGTTGTAGGCTCCATCCCCAATAGTAGGTGTGCAAAAGGAAGCCAATCAGTGATTCTCTCTCATCATTGATATCTCTCTCTCTCTCTCTCTCTCTCTCTCTCTCTCTCCTTTCTTCTCTGAAATCAATAAAAATATAATTTCAGGGGGAAAAACTGATTGTTGACTGAGCTTATTTTTACCACATTAACATAATAGACCTCCATTCTTCCTCTCAAATTTGTTTACTTTGCATTGCACTGTTCTGGTACATCCTTGGATTTAATTTTGAAAACCGTTATAATAAAAAGTCATACGAAAACAACTTTGGAATAGAAACTGTTGGCGTGAGTAACATGCATTGCAACACGCTGTGCCGAGTGAGGACTTCACACGATGGCCTTTATGGAAGCTGTGCCAGGGAGACGCCCTCCGAGGGAATGGTGGTGCCCTTCTCTTCCGGGAATGAGGGCCATGAGACTTCAAGTCCTCCCTTTGCCCTGGACGCTTAGCCTGCTCAGAACTATTGTCATGTGTTTCTCCTTCCTTTTCCTGGCTCTGAGTTTCTGTGTGCATTGTATTTATCTTACTGCAAGTAGCTTTAAGTTATGTTTTGATGGAGACAGTGCATGTTGACAAGTAAATTAGGATACTGGGCTACTGACAGTCCAGGCATTTAATAATGAGAGAGAAAATCCCAGTGCTGTTGAGAAAACGCATAACCCTGTGGATAATTCTGCTGTCCCCTATTTACGGCCAGCCACTCCTCACCTTCCCGTCACCTGGCTGAGGCCCACTGCTTCGCTGTGACTTGGCCTGAGCATCACTTCCTGACAGCTTTCCCTGACCTCTCCTCCTGTGGTCATGTGGGTGCAGCCATACGTGTCCTGTGCCGCCTGGGCTTCCTCCCGGAACACCACACCCGGGAATCAGGCCTCCGTCCCGGACCGGGAGCTCTTCCTGTGTGCCGGTGCCGGGCCCTTAGTGGTGCTCACACACTATCTCTGAAGAAATGAGTGACTCTGCCAGATGGTAGTGTCACTAAAAGAAGCAGCTGAGAAATGACTTTCAACATTATTTGTTTTATTATTACAAAACCTACTTTTCATGAAATGCCAGGTTACCCTAGTGTGAACGTGTATATTTAACATAAACTCTGTAGTGACATTGAAGAAGGGCCAATTTGGAAGTACAGATTCCTGTGAGTCACAAATGTCTGAGGACAAGAAGGCTGTGTTTGCATGCAAAATAACTCTTTTGTCAGGAAGCTCCTATTTTTTTTTTTTTTAGAATGGAAGAGAGAGGGCAAGTCAGAGAGAAGCATCTATTCGTTGCCTCTTACACCAGCCCCGACCAGGGCCTAAGCCAGGGAGGAACCTGCAACCGAGCTGCATGCTCTTGACTGGAATCGAGCCCAGGGCCCTTCAGTTTATAGGCTGATGCTCTGTCCACTGAGCCAAGCTAGGGCAGGAAGCTCCTTTTTGCTATTGCTCATCTGATGAGTCTTTTAAGCTTTGTATTGTTTGGCAGATGGTATTAATGTTAGATAGCCTCCCTGAGAGCCATATTGCCCAGACGGGGTACATTGTCTTGGAAAAGCTGGCTCCTCTGGTCTCGTTGCTGCGCAGGTGCAGTCTGCGGCCCTGGACGAGATGTTCCAGCAGACGGAGGACATCGCGTACCGCTACTACAAGGCGGCCCTGCTCCTGGAAGGCCTGACCAAGATCCTCCCGGATCCCGCGGACGTGGAAAACGTGCACAAGTGTAAGCTGACGTAGAAGGGGGGGTGTCCGCTGTGGCCTGTTAGGAGGGCTCGGAGTTCGGAGTCCTGCTGCCTGGGGATGGTTTTCCACTCGTGGGCAGATTACTTAGCCTTTCTGTGGCCTCCGTTTCTTCTGGAAGATACAGGAGCAGAGCTGTGTGAGGCTCAGAGACGATGCTTGTGAAGTGCTGATGCTTCTGCCGTTACCTTAGGTTTTCCCTCTGCATGGCTGTGCTCTGTGTCTGCATGTGCAGAACACTTTGTTTTTATTATTAAATAATAATACATGCAATTATTTTAAGCTTTGTGGCTTAGTGACTGAAGGATCCTAAGACCCTCTGCACTGCACATTTGGTGTAGATAGGCAGGATCCAGCATATGTCACTTGTCACATATGAGCACAGTGATCTGGGCTTTGAGTAGGGGGTGGTGGCTCACTGGAGTGTTACCAGGGATGGAAATTGTAAAAATCACTTGCAATTGTGAGCAAGCCTGCTGTTAAAATCTAAATGTCCTTTACTTAACACCCTAATCTAAATTTACCAATGTGTAGTACTAAACTACAAATCATGTAGTTTTTTAAACAGTTACCAGGCAGAAAGAAAAAAAAGTACTCAGAATTGTTAACCTTTGGGCTAGAACAGATCAGAGATGAGGATTTCCTATTAGTTTTTCTTTGCTTGGTTTTGAATATAAATTACCCTCATTGTGGCTGACTTTGTTTTGCTTCCAGATAAATCTAGCGTCGAAAGAAGGCTGTCTGCGCTCTGCGGCCGCTCTCCCACGCCCTGAGAGCAGCAGGTGCCAGGCCCGGCCTGCTGCCTGCCGCTACCAAAGACGACGATGTGCTTGTGGGAAACCTGCCTTATTGGAGAGTCGCCCTGTTCTGTCCTCTGTAGAAGCAGAAGCAAGAGTATTTCCCTCGGCTCTGTTTGCACTTGGTAAATAAATATACCTTAGAACTAGCATTATTAGTACATTTATTCTTAAGGACAGTTAAGATGGAACAAAACGAGTATCCCTTGGCTCAGTCACCAGAGCAGTGTGTGGGGTTCCACGTGTCTCCTCGTGGAAAGTGCACAGCGACATCGTCCGGCAGCTGGATGCGGGGCATGTTGTCCGAGTCTGAGCTTGACCCTGGAACAGCTCAGGAAGAAACGGCGTCGGGAGACGCGGGAGATGGCTCTGAAAAGGAATGGTGAACTCTTCACTTTCACCTAATGTGGACACTTGTTAATCTTCCCAGGTCTTTCATATATTGCACTAATTTATTAAAACAACTCTGTATTGGATTTTGCAATCTAAAACTAACTGAGGCACAATGGACTTGTTTGAAAAATACTTTACTTGATTGTACACACACACCTTTTCCAGAGTCACACGTAAACTCTAGTAGGCTTTTCGGTGGAAAGACCTGTGTTCAGGTGAACCTTTGCGTGTGTTTAACCTCTTCCTCTGCATCCAGGTTTCCTCAGTGATGTTTTGGGAGGCAGCTGTTGGCCTTTGGTTGCATTCTTTATTGTGCATGCGGAATGTGCACTGATGGCTGGGACTTCTTGGCCTCTTAACAGCTGGGTTATTGGGCAGTATTAGATAACGATGTCAGTCAAGAGATATGTCTAGAATCCTAATAGGGCTGAGTCATGTTGGGATGTAAGGCTTGTTAATGATGGGGAGTGCCCTCATGAAATTAGTGAGAAGTGAGATTTGTTTTTTCTTAGGAAAACGGCAGCTCAGTAGCTTAATACGTGCTTTCCATGTTAATCCTGGCAGTTTACCAAACAGCTGGTTATGGAGAAGGTGGGCAGTTAACATCCCTCCAGAATGGTTCCTACCTTGTACTTTATTTGGTTTCTTTTATTTACCTGCTTGAATACTTGAATAAACCACTCTCCAGTTTTAATCCTTTTATCTTAATCCTTTTAGATAATACATTTGAACTGACAAATTGCACAGGAGTTCTTTGGCATTAATCTAATTTAGTGACATGATAAAAACAAAAAGGCTTCCTTTTACTTGGACGAAGTAATTAATTTACTTATTTATCTGAATGAAATTCCAGCATTTAATTTGAACACTTATTTATATGATGTTTGTATTCTTAGGTCTTTAATACAGTGTTTCTACCTCTCATTTGTAATTGCATGCATTTATTCTTGAAACTAGGTAAAATTCACTGAATTGTATAATAATAGCCTTTTTATTATTGCCTGTACAGATGTAAATTAAGGTAAAATAAACCGGACAGAGTCTTTCTGGGTAAAGCTGGGTCCATTTTCCGTCTCTTCCAGCCAGGTCCTTCCTCAGTGAGCTTGGAGACTGGTCACGAGCACCCTCTGCCCGCCCCAGGAGTTCACGCTCAGGAAGGACGGCCCCGCAGGGCTCTAGGCACCCGTGTGAGCGATGCTCTTTTGTGGGTTTGTCCAGCGGACCCTCTGAGGGGCGGGCCGTTCTCCCCCTTCCTCTCCAGTGTTTGGGGCAGAGGCTGAAATGGGTTCCCAGTGAGCGAATGGCTGCCCTGAGGTCCCGTCACTCAGAAGGGCTGGGCCGTGCTCTGTGGCTCTCATTTCTCTCGTCCTCTGTGCAGCGAAGGGCTAGGGAGGTGGTATTGGTGAAACTGAAGTCTGAGCAGCAGAGATCAAACTGTAAATTCATGAATAATGGTTCTGATTATATTTCCATTATCAAGGCTAATTGTTTAAGAGATTTTTGCCTTGATTATAGCAATAATAAACAAAGACTATGTTTCCATGTGTATTCTTTGATTCCATGTCATCTATTCCATGACGTAGAAATGGACAGCTCAGACATTCATGGTAGACACGTATATTGGGGCCGTTACCTGGGAAACTATCGACCACACACGTAAACCAGAGAATTGCTAACGGGCTCTCCCTCCTGTGAGAACTTGCCCTGGGCTGGACCCGTGCTTCCCCCAGCCACATGCTCCTTCTCCCCACCAGAAGGAGCAGCAGGGCAGCCGGTCGGAGGACCATCTGTTGTGTGTGAGGCCAGGCCTGGGTTTAGGGCTCACTGGAGCACAGCACTCGGTTTCTGAAAGGACTCAGCTTGCCCTGGCCGGGTGCTCGGTCACTCAGGCCGTCGTCCCAGCACCAAAAGGTTGCGAGTTTGATTTCCAATCAGGGAGCGAACCTTGGTTGTAGGTTTGACGTGCCCCCCCACCCCCATGGGTCGATGGGTTGGGGGGCAAACTGGAGGCAATGGAACAATGTTGCTGCCTCCCTCCTTCCCTCCTTCCCTCCTTAGTCCTCTCTCACATCAGTAAACATATCCTTAGGTGAGGATTTAAAAGAAAAAGGACCCCTAACCGGTTTGGCTCAGTGGATAGAGATTCAGCCTGTGGACTGAGGGGTCCCAAGTTCTATTCCAGTCAAGGGCAGGTGCCTTGGTTGCGGGCACATTGGGATGTGCAGGAGGTAGCTGATCGATGTTTCTCTCTCATCGATGTTTCTAACTATCCCTCTCCCTTCCTCTCTGTAAAAAAATCAATAATATATACATATATATATAGATATATCTATATATATCTATATATATATATATATATATATATATTTTTTTTTTTTTTTTTAATGAGAAAAAGGACACAGCATCTTCCCCAGCCGTCCCACAGGGCACCCTGCTTTCAAGGTAGCCTTTAATGACCTTTAGGTCAACCTGGCAGTGTTAAAGAAATGTTTGTATCTAATGTTTATCACTTCACTTGATTCTCATACTAGTTCCTCCCTTTACAAATGGGAATACGGACTTGGGGGGTGGGGGCGGGGCTGTAGTTCCCATGACCGGGTGATGGCAGATGCGAGGGGTTGGACAGCCAGACGCAGGCTTGCACAGCGCCCAGGTCCACACCTGCGCCCCTGACCACCTCCTGCCAGAGGGGCACCGGGAAGGGAGGGGGGAGGGGAGGGGAAGGCAGGGGAACCGTTGGTCCGGGTGCCTCCCGCCTCCCAGAAGCAGGCATCTCGGGCCGCAGGCGAACAGCGCTGTGGGCACGGAGACCACCCGCACCCTGGAGGCCTGGGGGCTGCTGATAAACGCGGGGGTTTGATCGGCCCACGTCCCGGTTCCAGGGAAGGGGACCAGCAGGGCATGGGCCCAACCCCAGGGGAGGATCCCTGCCCAGGGTGCGGACTGCGGGCCTGCTGCCTGAGCGGCTCTCGCCGGCCCTGGCGGGACACAGCCTTTCGGACCGCCTCCGCCTCCCGCCCGCACCACCTCCTGGCACCGAAACACCCAGTCCCGGTGCCTCGCTGTGGGGCTGGTCCTCCAGAAACATGTCAGTTCTTTCTCCTTTTTCTGTGTTTAAAGTAGGAAATGAGTGGCTATTTGAACCCCGTGTGTGTGTGAACTGAGACACATCACTTCTGATCTGGATCCCACAGCCGCAGTGTCGGCAGCAGCCCCCGCGGCCGTGGGGAAGGTCCCTGTGCTGGATCAGGTCACCCTGGCCCCACCTGCCCAGATGAGGGCGGCACCCAGATCCCACCGGGCAAATCCCGCTACCTCCGGCAGAGGGCGCCCACCCCTCAGGAATAACCTTCAAACCAGGCAGCCCTGGTTTGGCTCGGTGGATGGAGTACCGCCCTGTGGACTGAAGGGTCCCAGGTTCAGTTCTGGTCAAGGGAACATGCCCGTGTTTCGGGCTTGGTCCCCAGTGGGGAAGGGTGGGGGGGAGGCAACCGATCGATGATTCTCTCACATTGATATTTCTCTCTCCTCCTCTCCCTCTTTGAAATCAATAAAAATATATTAAAGAACCTCAGGGAGGCACCCAGGCTCCCACAGATCCCAGCTCCCTTAGTGCCCACCTCACCCAGAAGCCTCTCCCTGAGGGGAGTGGGGTCCTCAGTGGCAATGGAACGATGCCCTCCTGGGCCAGGCAGACCAGCCTCTCCCTAATGAGATGTAAAGGCTACCCAATGGCTTGCTATGACGTGCACTGACCACCAGGGGGCAGATGCCCTGACTGGTAGTTTAGCTTGCTGTTAGGTTCCTGCCCATCAGGACTGAGTGAGACAGGCCAGACATGCCCTGGAGCCCTCCCACAGTCTCTCTCCAGGTGGCTAAGCTCCCTTGTCCCTCCCTGGCCCTGATTGTGCGCCTGTGGGCTCCCTTGGCCTGGCCTTCACCCTCTTGCAATCTGGGACCCTCAGGGGATGTCAGAGAGCCGGTTTCAGCCCAATCCTGCAATCCAGGCCAAGAGACCCCACTGGTGCATGAATTCGTGCATTGAGCCTCTAGTTTAAATATAAGAACAGGAATTTAAAGCACAAGAATTGCTCTGGCTGGTTTGGCTCAGTGATTTGGCATCAGCCCTTGCTTGGATCAAGGGTCTTGGGTTGGATTCCTGGTCAAAGGCATGTTCCTCTGTTGCAGATTCCTCAGTCCCAGTAGGCTCACATGGATGTTCCCCCCTCCCCCCCCCCCCGCCCCTTACTTCCCTTCCATTCTCTCTAGAAATCAATTGAAAGAATATCCTCAGTTGAGGATAAAAAACAAACAAACAAACAAAACAAAAAACACCGAAAGTGAAAGAGATAATTGGCCCAAATGGTCAGTTATTGAAATCAACCTAAATTTCGAAAACAAAGGAGCCTCAGTTCGGGGAGGGGCCGGGCTCCTCAGTCACTGCTGCAGGTATGTGTTGAAGTGGGTGCCCCTGGGATTGAGCCTAAATCAGGCACTTGCATCACAAAAGAGGGAGAAAGCACCTACACTGGGGCCCAGTGAGTAACTGCGGACAGCGGCGGCTGACATTCACTGCGCGCATT